AACTATCTTTCCTCATACCTGGATAAGTCCTGCTCAATGGCGTTGATCCTTATATCATTTCCTCCGTGAGCCTTGTAGGCTCTTACATAACAACTCATGACCATTTTCTCGTCTCCCTTCACCATGCCTATTCTGGCCGGTGTATAGAACTTCATGCATAGATGAGCATGGGAGATAATGGCTCCCATGTCCTCCAACAGAGGTCGGCCCAGGATGGCCTTGTGAACACTGGGCAGCTGAACAATAATAAAATCCATTTCGATCGCCCGAACACATGGTTCTGATCCGAGCTTGATCTTGAGGGTAATCACCCCTTCCGGCTCAATCGTGACTTCGGTAAAACCTGAAAGAGGTGTTTTTACCGGTCTAAGAGCTCCCTTCTGGAGCACGATCTCCAACAAAGCATCCATGTATAGTATGTTAACCGAGCTCCCGTTATCCACGAGAACTCTATGAACAATTGCATCCTTAACCTCCATCTTTATCACCAGAGCATCTCTATGAGGCGGGGGACATGGGGGGAGATCGCCATCCGTGAAAGTGATGGATTCCCGCTTCAACCTTTTGCCAGCAGGAAGACAGTTTATTTCCCCGACGAATAGTTGGCGATTCCAATTCTTTCTTTCCCCCGTAGTGTCTCCTCCGACAGGTCCGACATAGATTTGGTTGACAAGCGGGCGCTTCTGCCGACCTGAATCTTCTCCTTCATCATCGCCCTCGAGCTGGGCCCTGACCTCCCTCTTTTTAGAGGTTGAGGCTGGCTCGTCTTTCCCCTTGTTCCAAGCGTTCCTCTTTAGAGGATGTGGTCCCTGTTGGCTTTTCTTCACAAACTGGTCCAGCTGCCCTTCACGTATGAGTCTTTCCACATACTTCTTCAGATGTTAACAATCATCAGTTTGGTGAGTATCGCTCTTGTGGAGCTTGCAATACTTACCCTTAGCAGCCTAGCTGTTCACAACGTTGCACCCTTCCGGGATCGTTATCAAGCCCTGCTTCGTTGCGTAGTCCAAGACAGTACCTATCGGATGTGTCAATGGCGAAAAATCAGATTGGCCAGATAGAGGTCCATCAGGAACGCCTGATCTGCTCTTTCCCCAGCCCTTCTTCTTCTTATACCCATTCTCCTTGTGTGAGTCATGGGTTTCTGTAACACCTCGGTCCATAGGACGCGAGGTAGTTACTCCTTCACACCCTCCAGACCTCTAGTACTGTCCTCACAAACCGCCACTAGCCTTTTCCGCACACTTTGTCCTCACTCGTGCGCGCCTTCGGAAACTTCCCAAGGGGTCACCCATCCCAAGACTACTCCCTTGCAGGCACGCTTAACTTTAGAGTTCTTGGGTGATGAGCTCCTTTAAAAGGAGATGCACCTCTGTTGGTATGAGTAATATTATTAATCCGTTTAAATTAAATCTCAAGTGTTACATTCACCCCCACTTAGGAACGCAACGTCCTCGTTGCACCCATAAACCAATCTCAAATCTCAATCAAATCCCAGAATCCTCCCCCGCTAAGTGCCCACCCGATATCCAATGGGTCAGCGCTCTGATACCATCTCTAACACCCCGGTCCCTTAGGACCCGAGGTAGTTACTCCTTCACACCCTCCGGACCTCTAGTACTGTCCTCACAAACTGGCACTAGCCTTATCCGCGTACTTTGTCCTCATTCGTGCGGGCCCTGAGAAACTTCTCAGGGGGTCACCCATCCCAAGACTACTCTCGTGCAAGCACGCTTGACTTTGGAGTTCTTGGGTGATGAGCTTGCTTAAAAGGAGATTCACCTCTGTTGGTATGAGTAGTACTATTAATCCGTTTAAATTAAATCTCAAGTGTTACAACTTCGTTCTCTGAGGACTTCTTATCGCCTTCAGGTTGGCGCTTGCCAGTCTCCTCTTCTCTCTTCCTTTTCTCGGTTTCTTCCACCTCATCTTGCGCATTGGCATGCAACAAAGCTTCCTCGTGTGAGGTCGAGGAGTTGCGCACAATATCCTTGTATAGTTCGCCCGACCTCAGAGCATTGGTGAGTATAGCGACATCGGATTTGTTATCCAGGTTGTCTACTTTCACCGACCCGTCCCTCCATCGAGCGAGGAAATCAACTAAGCTTTCCAGGGGTCCTTGTCTGATCCCCGGGAGGTGAGAGAAATTCTTCTTGGAGTCTTTGGAGCCGGCGAACCGGGCCACGAAAGCATGGGCCAACTCCCTAAAGTTTCAGATCCTCCCGTCAGGTAGAGAGTCATACCACTCTCGGGCCGATCCGTCCAGGGTTACTGAGAACCCTCTACACTTAATAGCATTATCGTATCCCATCATCACCATATATGCCACATATCTAGAAACATGGTGTTGGGGGTCGGTCTTCCCCCGATAGGCCTCAATATTGCATGGCCTGTATCCCTGTGGCAGTGGAGCATCCATGATCTGGCGAGTGAACGGTTCGGGAATCCTTACTTCATGATTGGGGTTAATCCTATCGTCCACCTCCCTCCTGAGCTCTTCCAACCTCCTCCTGAGGTCGTCGTTGCCATGACCTGCTCGAGCTCGAGGGGGGGTCGGCGATCTCCGCGGGCCTGCCGGTTGGCGTTGATCTCGTCCCTGAGATCCCCCCACGCGTATTACTATACGGCGGTGGGATGAAACGGCCGCAGATGATGCCTCCTCACTCTGCTCAGCCCTGGATGAGATTCTGCCATGCACGGAGATCCTCTGCCCGTCGATCCGATCCATTACCGAGGTTCTCGGGGTCGGCCTGGAGTGATGGGACCGTTGAGGCTGGGTTGGCGGAGAGTTTCCCCGCTGCGGTTCACGTCTCTCTTCCTCCCACTGAGGCATAGATGGAGCTCGGAAAGGGGAAGGATGTCGTGCGCTAGCATCAGGGATAATACCTTGAAAGGCGATGGTCAGGGTCTCCACGGCCCTCTAGAATGTTGCCAAACTTGCCAAGGCTTGGGCCGAATCGACGTTGGGGATGAGGTTCCCGGTGCCCGGCATCTGAAACTGTGGTGATCGCACCGCCGTGTGCCTGCAACTTCCAACGCCATGGAGATGATTTCTCAAATCACCCTGAACCGCTGTGTTGTCATTACACCTCCTGAAATCATTGCGCCGTGACATAGAACCCTTGTCCTCGATCACGACTTGATTGAAACGATCACCGCCTTGATTGCTACCCATGCGGTTGTGACTAGTCGATCCAACCATCGTCTTCGCATATCGTTCTCTCAACGAGAGCACCGAATGATGGAGTTTAATCCAACTACGAGAGCTATATCTACGGAAGCAGATGAAAGTATGGCAGCGTAAGGCAGTATTTTATTACCAGGAGTTCGATCCCCTCACAGGAGAATTACAACGAGTATTTATAGACTACAGGAACTAGTATTCTAGGAGGAAACTGCTGCAATAAATGTCATTAATTACATATTATTTCGAATAGAACTCTTGTAACGTCTTGGCCGTTGTGCAATGATTGTTCATTTAAGTCCACGTTCTTCCGTTATTCCTGTGTGATGCCGGATAGCTATGCACGAATGGTAGTCTTCCACGTAAGCCCTAGGAATATTCCGACCTCACTAGAATCCCGCCCAGGCTCGAGGTCTGCTATCCAGCCTGGCCTGGTTGTGGGTTTCTTTCGTGAATCTTATTCCTAATTAAGCCCAGTGGTTATTTAATATTGATCCCGTTTTTGAGTTGATCCCGTTAAGGGCTTGATCCCGTTGAGGGCTTGATCCCATTATGGGCTGGATCCCGTTAAGGGCTTGATCCCGTTGAGGGATTGAACCCGTTGAGGACTTGATCCCGTTCTGGGCTGGATCTATAATTCCGTAATTAGGTCGTGGCTAGAGTCCATGGTACCATCACACGTAAAATGAACATCTGCATGAAAAGACCTGACCAAATAAGTTCATATAAGACCAAATAAAACCAGAAAATTTCTATCCAATTCAAAATGATATTCTTAGAACATTGCAAATGTACTTTATTGGAAATTCAAAAAGCAATGATGTTCTTGCATAATATTATATACTACATACTAAATTTACGCTATAATTAATGGTTGTGGGAAAATTAAAATTATGATAAAAATCAAAACGCTTTTTCACGCATACCCCTCTCCTAAACCCGCCTAGACTTCAAAGACTCAAGGCATGATCGTACTTTCTCGACACGTCTTACGCCTTTTAGAACATTAGCACTAACACCTATCTAACTGTGTTAATATTAATTTATCCTAAAAAATATATTTAAGCTTACAAAATTTAATTTTTATGATGATCTAGTAATTGGAACTCGTAGTTGATGCCAATAAATAAAAAATTGAATCATAAATTTCATTTTCATCTAAAAATAGAATTGGCCTGACGGGATTCTCGTCAGACCCCGTCAGGCCGGCCTGATATCAACCGCCAATCTAGACTATGAATCCATAAAATAAAAATAAAAGATGAAACAAAAGACAAAAGGATAAAGTGTTGAATTGAAGTACAAATTTAATAGAGTTCAATTTATTAAAGTGCTCATAATTATGAAATACACAAAAATGAAAACATATCTTATAATTTTATAAAACCAGACATGCATTCTGATAATGATACGTGCATGTATGGAGTCATGGAATAATTCAACACAATTGTAAAAGAAATTAAATGTATCACTAGATTAATAAGTGAAAGAAGATATGGGGATAAATTTGATTAAAAAAAATTATGAATTTAATTCCCTGAACATATGTAGCCTGTGGCTATGTGCCTATGTTGTCATGCATGTTTGTTCTCATTCCGTATTCATTGGTATCTTTTGTGACGCATTAGATGAAACTAGACGAGAATCAAATCGTATTGGTACTTCTTCCAACTGTATGGATATTGGATAAGAACGACAACTTTGTCTTTACACACCCTTCATCACTACCATAACTTTTTCCTGCTTTGAATTGATACATGTTTATATTAACTATTAAGATGATAATTGTGCAGTTAGATTTACCTTAGAATGGACGTCGTGCAACTTTTCTCTCGAATAAAATCAATGAAATTTTGGGAAATCTAAAAATGAGAAGAAAAATACTGCACTATACGTCTATACATTGGTGTTTCAATGAAGGATTGCAATTAGCTCATATATGATTCGTTACATTTTTTACTAGAGCCTAAAAGCATACCAACTAAATGTTAGCTGAAAGCAAAAGACTATTGCTACAGGTATATACAAATACAAAAAAGTTCACCTAAGCTCAAACAGAAGATTATAAGAAAACAGACATGGTTCATTCGTCTGAACTAGAAGACGTGTCTTTTGTAGCCGGAGAGGTCATAGTGCATTCCATCTCATCATCTTCACTAAATGTGATTTCATCATCACTAGAGTTGGATGAGGGTGAAGAAGAAGTTTCGTCATCATCGTCATCACTAACCACCCCAGTCCGATGATGCCTTCTTCTAACATCATTTTTTATCCCTCTTCCCCTCCGTAGAGCAAGACGCCTTCGCTTCCTGGCTTTCCTCTTACCTTTGGGGAACTCTTCCTGCTGTGACTCCAAAATCTTGCTCGCACTTCCATCTTCGATCTCATCATCCAACTCATTACTTTGGGAATTGCGCCTCTTTCTACTTGTGTTTGTCTGACAAAAAAGTGATTAATAATTATTCACCACAGTTTTATTTTGATCATCCCATTTACAACTAAACTGGATAACTTTTGAAAAACAAACCTTGGGACCGCCCTTGGGACCACGATCAACAAGGCGTGCCCATTCACTTCGGTTTCGAAGGCAATCAAGAACTGCCTGAGAGTGACTTGAGTAGGCGTAACGCTCTCCGTTGTGTTTCCTCAAGTGTGGCCAGTGCTGCGTAAAACATATGTATAAGCACAGTTCTGTATCCGGATTACAGTAAATAAAATTAAATAATTTAAGAGTAACTCACAAAAGAGAAATGACATATTCATGAAGCAACCATACCGGCAGAACAGCATTGCAGAGTTCTTCATATCTCATCCGTTCACCTTTGCTCATTATCTCAGCAATCAAACCTATGATGTCGACGAAAAAATAAACATTACTAAAAAACCATGAACTCCCATCATTTCCAATGGAGTCAAAGACTCGCTTTTTTGTGTGTTCGGAATATGATGGAATAAAGCAAAATGACTCACTAAACTGTCTGCGCTTCTTTGTTATGAAGCAACAGTCAGTCCATATAATTTCCGACGAGATTTTCATCATGGGTCATTCGGAAACTGTGCTTTAGTACAGGGGTAAGGCTGCGTACATCTGACCCCCTTACCTCACCGTAGGTGGAAGCCTTTGCAGCAATGGGGTAATGTTGTGTTGTAATAAAAAAACCATTAGTGTGAACTTGCAGAGATGTAATTTTAATGAAAGAAAAACCTGGTAATGTACGAGGAGAATGCCGGCCAGAAACTCTAGCATCATCATCATCACAAATGGTATTTCTCTGTGATTTATGAGAGGACAAGTTAAGTTCTTTGGCTTCATGGGAGGAAGGAACATCATTACTCCCAGCTACAGCTGATGATGAAGGGCTAGTAGTCTTCTTCACAGAAATCACACTTTTTGAAGAACGGGAGTCTGTTTCTCGCTTGTCATGATTAGTATCTTGTCTTTTATAACCAGGAGTTAATCCCTCCCTTTTTTTAGTAGATTCATCTGCCCCCTCTTGAGAATTGATGGAACCATCTTTGCCCGAATCCTTTCTTTTTCTAGATGACTGTTAAGTAAAAAAATGGGAAGGTGAGTGTAAATAAGATAAAGCCAGTGCAGTAATGCAAACTAGGAAGTGCTTCAGCAGCATACCAAGTCGTGATCTTTTCCTCCACTAGATACTCGCTTCGTTAGCATACTTGTAGCTGCTGGGGAAGTTAATGTAGGTAAACTACCAGCATGACGCATACGTGGGACCCGAGGAACTCTAGGAGAGCTATTGAGTTGTTGATGCAAAAGTAATGCAAGCTGTTTACAAAACGACAAAGGTTGTAAGGGAAAGGAAAGAAATAAAGAAAGCTACTCCGTATTTTCTTAAGTTTATTGGTTTAATTTAGGGTATGTTTGGATCAGAGAAACTGAGAGGGAAAGGAAATAAAGAAAGAAAGCTATTTTCTTAAGTTTATCCTTATTTTGAACAATATAACATAGTAAATTTCTTCTTTTTTTAAAACACGTGTTAGATTTTTGTTGATAATATAATAGAAAAAAAATAAATGAGAAGAGTTTGAACAAATATCTAAATTTAATTTATTACGTTCAAGTCTAGGTGTTATTTCCCCCCATTCTCATTATCCTCCCAAATCCATGTCTTCTTTCCATAGTATTTTTCAAGTTCCAGACAGACCCTTAAGCTATGTTTGGATCCCGGAAAATGCTAGGTAAATAACATATAATTGTAAGCAAAGTTATTTTAGAAATTAGTTCAAATAGGACTAAAACTATGGCAAAAACCTAAAATAGGACTTGTTATGTTTTTATTCTAAAATAGGACCATATGAGTCCTATTGGAAACATACCTATTTTTGCATTCCATTCTTACCCTTCCATTAAATATGAATTAAAAATAGTCAAAAGCCATAATTAAATGTTTAATTCATAATAAATTCGAAAAAAAATTCAAAAATTCGTAGAAATATAATTAAAAAATTTATAAAATTTTTATAAAATAAAAAATTCAAAAACTTTTTTTTTAAAATAATTTTATATTTAAAAAAAATTAATAAAAAATAGTAAAACTCCGTAAAAAAAATTTAAAAAAATATGGATGTCTTTCCCACCGCCTGTACTACCTCCCAGCACCACCACCTCCGGCCGATGAAAACAATGCCATTTTCCCAGAAAAATGCCATTTTTTCTGAAAATGCCAAAAAAGTGGCATATTTCTTGGCATTTTTTTTCCCCTGGTGACTGGAGGTGGTGGTGCTGAGGCGGCAGAGGCGGCGGCGATTTTTTTCTTTGAGTTTTTATTTTTTTTTTTTATTTTTTTTAATTTTTTGAAAAAAAAAATAATTAAAATTTTAATATCGAAATGTTTTTCTTAATTTTTTAGTATTTTTTACGAATTTTTATTATTTTTTATTATTTTATTAGGAATTAAAACATTTTAATAACTATAAGGGTATAATTGTCCAAGGTACACATAATTAGTCCTATGCAAACAGTTTATTTTTTGGTCCTATTTGTGAAAAATGAATGACTTTTAGTCCTATTTTGATAATTAACTCAAGTTATTTTCTTATCTTCAATATTACCTCAGAAAATGCAATGTAAAATGATATATTATTAATTTGGCATTTACATAATAGACATGAATTGTAAAGATGAATTTGAACAAATAATAAATATATTGAGTTTAAAACAATGCCAATATTTTAGTTCCTTCCAAATATTTTCTACAGTATTCTTTCTATGTTATTGCCCTAGCATTTTCAGAGTTCCAAATGGACCCTTACATTGCAGTGATGAAGGATACCCATATGTTTTTCGTACCTCTTCATCGCTCAGCACAGCAGTAGAGGATGTCACTGTTGGAGGATGCATCACAGTTCCACTTGCTTTTAATGAAGAAGGTTGGCTTCCTGACTGGTTCACCTTTTCACCTTTTTGAGGTAAATTTGTGGCTGAAGGTTTATTCTGTATGCTTGATGCCTCTTCACTTTGCAACGAACTGGAAGACTCACCAGAGCCTGAATTAGCAGACATATTTCTCACCGAAATGCTTCTATGGGATGAATGAGGCATGAGATCCTTTGAATCGGACAAGGCCTTCCTCTTAGAAGAAGAAATATATGTGATCTTGCTCATTTGGTGTTGTGAGGCAGAACCAACCGAGGACTTTGGTAACTCGCTTGCCACTCTTGATATTTCATGCCCCTCTTCATCTTCAACCACATTAATTGTGGTATCCTCCCTTTTATTGCTAAGATTATTGTCAGGAATTCCCTTCTGCACGCTCTCAGAAGCAGAAGGTTTGAGAATTAAAGTTGAAGAAGATTTCCCCATAGTTACTCTTACTTTACGCTGACTTGGAGCACTCCCTATACTAGTAGTTGTTGCACTGATTTTAGCTGCTGAATCTACAGCACGTTGTGTACTACAATGTTTAAGTTGCCCTGATGAATACTTCGATCTCTCAGCACCTTCAGATAATGTTGATTCTTGATTAGATGGGAAAGTATCACGAGATAACCCATCAGCATTTTTCATTCTATTATAGTCAAGAATTGAGCTACTACTGTCAACATTCTGCGCTTTATGAGATCTATCTTGAGAAGTAACAGCAAGAGCGTCAGCTTTTACCTTAACACTTTCAAACAATTGAACTTTGGAAGTGTCTACATGATGGGGTGAGGATCTCGTTCTTTCTAATGTTGCATCACATGAATATGAACAATGGATATCAATGTCTCCACGAGCATCATCAGCTTTAAAATTAATTTCAGGCACTGAAGAGCAATATGTGTTGTTATCACCAGTCAAATCATGACAATTTTGAAGACTCTTAACTCCAAAATCATCACTTACATTGGCTTTTGCAATAGACACCGACTTATGCAATTCAACCTTGGCACTAATTGATGAAGCCTCTCTATGAACAGCAACATCCTAACCATGACGAGCAATTATAAGCAAGAAGAATGACAGGAGAGCAACAGTGTTATTAAAAAAATAACGAATGAAAATAAAGGTTACCAAAGAATTCACCAAGAAAGCAATAGTTCAGCTTAGTAGAAACTACCTCCGCCCCAAAAAAATCTGTTTCTCCCATGGGCAACCAATGTTTGAAATATATCTCATACTAAGTACTAACCGATATTTTGTGGATATTTCTTTTCCAAATAGGAGGGGCAAACCAATATTTTTCATTCTTCAACATCAAATAAAGAAAAAGCAAAATACTCTGATACATACAGATACTTATCTAGTGGAAATATAGATGAGTATCAACAATATAAATAAAAATAAAAAAGATTATAAAATATTGAGAGTTTCAATTAGTATCGAGAAAATGGCGGGGATATATCACGGAAATATCACATAAAGGAAACTGTCATGCAAATATTGAAAATATCAGGATGTTGAATACATGCTAATGGTATATTATTTTGACCCAAGATGCACTTTTTAAAAATCCTAATGAAATGCTTACAAGTATCACCATTTGATTCCAAGATTTATTAATCAATATCAGGAATTAAAAATAAATCATTTTACAATACATTCAACATCATGTACTCATTTATTTCGAACATATGTAAAGTTATAAAACTTCTAATATATTTTACTATCAATACATTGGTAATTAAGAAGTCATTTGTCAATGGTTCATAAATCTTAAGAATTAAAATCTATATAAACACTAAAATTGATATTTCTTTTTCAAATATTTTATCATTTTACTTTCGATAATTCTATAAAAGTATCATTTCAACCTTGGGTACAAGGGTACAACTACTACAAATCATCAATTCTAGCAATTTAACAGTGCTTTAAATGTATATGTTGGACAAATAAAAGTTACCATACAAAACTTGATACAGACACTACTTTTTTCAAGAAAAATAAATAAATATAGTGAGAACTAGTAACTTCTGTTCAAGTAGGACTCTTTTTAGGGAACAACATGTCTCCAAATACGACTCTTTTTGGGATGGATAGAACATATCCAGAGAAAAGTACCATCATCATAGCCATAAAAACTAACATCATGAATTATCTTATAACCCATACCTCCTCTTTAATAGGTAACCGAACAGATTTGCTGAACTCTAAGAAGGATGCTGCAATTCCATCTTTTTCATCTGTTTCCCTTTGTGAGGTCTGAATCTTTGAAACACCAGGATTTTCACTCTGTTCTTGGGGAAGTGTTTCACTTGAAGAATTATGTTTTGAACCATCAGAAGGATATATTTTTGAATGATGCTCAGTTGAATTTAGAGTGCTTCTACGATTACCATAGTCATTATCCAACCTTTGAGAATCTTCTACCAGGTGATCAATGGGCACAGCGACTTCCAAACTTCCGCTGCTTGTTCTGTTAGAATCCGCATGGACAACTTTAGAGCCTCTACCGTCATAAAATTGCATTTTTTTCTCTCCATTTAAAGTTTTGCAAGCTAAGATAACAAGAACAATCAAAGCCAAAAGAAAACCTCAAGTCAAACAGATTTTCATAAAATAAAGATGGAATAATTGCATAGGACAGCTATATTATGATGTCAATAAAACTACAACCTGCAAGTTTACGCAACGGCTGCAAAAGAAGCAGATACAAAATATATAGAATGTGAAGTTAAAATTTCACCTGTCCTGATTGACGAGCCTTTGTTCTTACAGTATCCTTTATCAGCAACTTGACCCTTCTTTTTCTTCTTTCCCCCTTGATCTTTATCTATCTTCAATCCTGTGTGTTTGCGCTTTCCATGGTGTATCACAATGGGATGCAGTGAATTGGTAACCTTTTTCACATTTGTATTCAACCAATCTGAACCATCCAGCCTTTTTATCTGTTTTGAGGGCAGTGATATGTCACATTTCCCATCCTTCAAATCACTTTTTCCCGCATTTGAGTTGGACACAGGTGCCAGAAAATTATTTTCCTTCGATAAGGAAAAAAGAACACCAGCACCATTATTATCAGCAGTGGTTTGATTATTTACATCACCTTTCTTATCATTATCTTCATCATCTACTTCAGTGTCCCAATGGGAGAACTCTCTATACTGAAAGTTAAACTTCTTGGGCACATATCCAGTACATTTCCACAGCTGGGGACCAAAAATAGATGAGACCTTGGCAGGAAACAAAGCTGGATCACCTCCTGGGATCCCTTGCACGTGAACCTTATCCTCCATGGGCAACCCTGTCCAGAGCCTAAAAGGCCTTTGAGAAGACGGTAAGCTTGGATTGAATGGATTATCCATATTCAAAGTCTTAGTTGGCAATTCCACTAGGAGCTGGGCAACTTCAGTCTCCTCACTGTCATTCCTACAGTTCATATTCTTGCACTTATCACAAGCAAACACCTTCTCACTCTTGACATATCCCACACACCTTGTGTGCACCCACACCCCACAATCATCACAATTCACCATCTCTTCTCCATCGTCAAAATTCACCCCACACACACAGTCCACAGTCCACGAACCATCACCCCAGTCGTCCTGCTGATTCGGCATAGCCATTCCATGCGATCGATTCTTCATTCTATAACCCTAATTGAAACAAAAGCCTTAACTAACCAGTAACCACGGTCCTCACTAATGGTTCATGCTCAAGTTAAATCACATATTCGGATGGCACCATTCAAATAGATTGGAGAAAAAGAAGGGAAACAACCCCCGACTGTAGAATTCCTAAAAATTAAACTCATATAACGCGGAAAATCGTCAATACAGTTTTATGATGCGTACCAGATAGACTAAATTCCGTCACTGTGGTTTTCCGCAGGGGCGCCGGGGAAGCAAAGGAAGGCGCTATGATGGAAGCTGTTTGATGCTCAGACTACCGGCAGTGAAAGGGGCTAGGCGGGAAGCCGATTTTTTTACTCTGAAGATTGATTTTGTGCTATAACAACTCCATTAAGGAAAGAGAGTGCGAGAACAGTCGGAATCGAAAAGGGTTGTTAAATTCGGCGTGTGGGCATAGATTTGGCGTCCGATGACATCTCAGAAACTAGGCTTTGTTTGGCAGAGGGATAAGAAAATACAAAAATGCAACTAGTACACAAACAATTCTTTTTGCTACTATATTTTTCGGCTTATCAGGTTTATCAATCAAATTTTTCACTAAACACGTAACTATTTATTTTGCGCTCTGAATTATGTAATAATAAGAAAAAGTAAGATTGTAGTTACTTTTCTGACTGTATTAGCTCAAGTTACTATAGATTCATTATAGCTGTTTTTTCATATAATTTTATTTATTTTATTAGTGAAATATATTTTAAATACTCCGTATAATTTATTTCATAAATCAACATAATCAGCTAATTCAACAGCTTCAGCCACAACTTCATAAATTCAGCAGAATCAGCCCATGCAGCCAATTTGGTATAAAAGCTCCAAAAAAAGTTAACTATTCTCTTTCTTTGTTTTTTAGAGATGACAATTGTGACCGTTCCAATAGATATCCTCACTGAATTGTTCCGGTAAGAATGAGAAAAATCATATTGATCGGGTAACGGGTACAAGGTGGGGAATAATCATTTTATTTTTATAGGTAATGGGGCGATTGTGGTTTTATCCCCATTATCTGCCTCGTACCCGCCCGATTTATTTTGAATTATATTTTGATTCCATTTCTTCATACTCCATATTATTTGTCCCACGCCTAAAAATATGAGATCTCTCCCTCTCTATTCTGTATATCGGATGCAATGTTCTCACTAAGTTGTATGAAAGAAAGCCCACAAAGGCTTTGAGAGTCTTGCTTGATTATTATCTGATTTTTCTCTCATTTAGTTGTTCTTATTAGTATAAGTGTTTTGAAGTTTAAATTAATTTGAGTCGCCTTCTTCCTCGATTTGTAGATGCACGAGACTTTTAGGCTGCGTCTCACGGCTAGAGTCACCTAGACATTGTCAAACCTCGCATGTTAAAAACATTGATTTTTATATTAAAATATTAATATCCCCTTCAAGGAAATTGTTACCTACGATTATACTCGATACTAGTTGGGGAGGTTATGGTTTAGAAAAAAGTTACTCGTTGGATAATGGGGCAGTTACGGGGCAAAAATTACACAATAGGTCGGGTATGATTATATACATAGCATCATTGACCCACTTATTGGCATCTCTACTTTTACTCCTCATATGTCAATTATCTCTCTCTCTCACTCACTCACTCTGAGTGCCAATTGATGTGTTTTTATTTCAGGGACCAAATTGAGCATTTTAGACGGGTACATTGGCCTATTTAACCCTTAAGTCTTGTTTTAAAGATTGACTATATTGGTTTAGTTTTAATTTCAAACTTTTGAATATAAAGGATTTTATGTTTGGGTTTAAAAGAAGACATAAAACATGGATTTTTAAATAAAAGCGAAAAGATCAGTGTTATATCTAACATTCAAGATTAAACATGTTCTCATCAAAATCAAATTAGACTTAGAGAGGAGCTCTTTAATTATCAAGTTGAGAGATGATTGCTCTTACTATTTGGGATGATGAGGGTTAAGAAAATAACCCTCAACAAGCTTCAAGAGCAAAACCAAGAAATGAGAGTTTAGCTCCTCATTTGGAGACGAAACAAAGCTAGAAAAATATAAAGAAGATACTATTCTAAGTTGAGCTTAAGTGTATGGAAGAAGGGATGATAATTGTGAAGGAAAAGTGTGTTATTTATAGGTATTTTCAACACCTTGCATCGGATATCCGACCGGGTATAGGTACATACCTAACCGTGTATCAGTCAAAATTGAATCAATCTTCCACGCTCTTGTATTTTCAGCACATCCGGGTATTAATCCAATTTCCTGACATCTTCCGTTTTCAACGCATACCCGATCGGGTAAAGGCCATACCCGGCAGGGTAAATCACCTGGGCAGATTTCTTCACTTCAAAGTCTTCTTTTCCAACACCACAAATCCTACCACTAGTTTACAACTCACAAAAGAATGCCAAAATACAAATACAACCAAATTCAAACAAATATTTACAAACTAACAATAAAGGTAAACAATCATCACAAAACAAACATAAAAACATACACTTATGTAGTAATAATGAGTGTATATCACATATACTCTTTGTATTCATTCAACCATTTTCGTTTGTGAGTACGATTGTTTTTATAGTCTGATCAAGACAATACAAGCAAAAAAGGTGTATAAGTGTCTATGTGGGGTCTCTTATTTTAGAATACTCGGTGATAGACTATTACTCTAGAGAGAGATGCGAGATAGAGAAAGAAGTACGTACGTGATTGTGTAAGTGATGAAACCAACCCCTTACAAGGCTCCAAAACGGAGTGTATATATAGATAACAAATGGGTTGGGCTGCTAGGTTGGGCCTTTTACAGGCCCATGTACACAAAAAAGAGCTAATAAAAGATATGCAGTTTAAAACACGGAGATTCTATTCACTGTCTTATTTTACTAAGGACACCCCCCAAATTAAATATTAATTGTTGGTCCCGTTTACATAAGGAACAGTCTAGAGGGGGGTGAATAGACTGTTTAAGTTCGAAACTTTTTGTTTAAGTCTTAACAGACTTGACAGAGAAGGTCGAGTTCTGGTGACAGAACTGGACATGGCAGCGGATAATCTGGTAAGGGTTCTAGTCGGGTAGCCTTCAGAGAAACACTAAGGCAAAATGCTTTTCTGATAACTCTAAGGACAAGATCTATTGAACACAGAGTCCAAGTCTTTAGGAGTTAAGCAGTTAAAAATTAAGTGCATGAAAGTAAATGCGTAAATTAAATGACACTCGGGTTTTTATAGTGGTTCAAGGAACATCGCGTTCCTCTAGTCCACTATTCCACTAAGCTTGCAAAAACAACAGTTTACAACGCCTTAGTCCTAGCACTTAAGAAGCACTCCTCTTCTTCTTCAAGTCTAGTTGCCACCCGGGATGCAGTCCTTGCTTCCTGATGGCTGGTCTCGTTTCACTGAGTTTCTTGAAGTATCCCCACTTCACTACTCCAGCTAGTTTGAGACGTCTCTTCTTTTGCAAGAAGTATTTGAATAAATATTGTTTTCTCCAACGTTGCTTCATTACAAAGGATGTTTAGTTGAGGCTTTTGAAGTGTTGAATAACTGGTGAGACTTTGCTCTTTGTTGGAATCTGAAGATGTGAAAATATTATCTTTCCAACGTAAGGCTTTTCTTGTTGAGGAAGATGAAGATGAGATCTCAAGAAAGCTTGTTTGAAGAGTAGTAGAGTGAGCAAAAGTTATCCGGTTGGTCTTCGTGTTGTATCATATATATATTGAAAGATGTCTACTTCCCGTTGGAGTGTAGAGGACATCTTCATTAAATGCATGAACTGTTGATTTGACCGGTTGGTTTCCAAAAAGTAGCCGACTTGCTATTTTGGGGGCGCAATTATCTTTTCTTGGTCAATCATCAGCTTTAAATATCCCAACGAGTGAAGCACATTAAATGAGCATTTAATGCGTGAACAATTGCTTCTTCCGTTGAGAGGCTCCTAGCCGTTAGGGAATCTCCCGTTAGTTTAACGACTATTTTAAGCGCCTTGAATTCTTCTAAGTGTCAGCAAGTCTGATGAGGTTCTCCGATAGCAACTCTGATGACCGACTCCGATGGCAACTCTGGTGACCAGCTCTGGTAGCAACTCTGATGACCAGCTTTGGTAGCAACTCTCATCAAGAGATCCAAGAGGGTTTCTGGCATGTCGACTATGCTAATACTTACACAAGTAAAATTCTAATACAAGATTTCTAAAGGGGTGCTCTAATATCTAATTAAGCTAGCATCATCAAAATCTAAAAACAATTTATTCCTTACAATTTCCCCTTTTTGATGATGCCAAAACCCTTATTCTACTTCTAGAGAAGTGCCTTTCACCATAAAAAATAAAGTTAAAAACTTTCATTAAAAATCTTGGTGGGCAACTTAGCATAGGAAAGTAGTAAGAGTTAGAGAACAAACAAGTAAAACAAGGTATCGGAGCATATCAACAACAATCAGAATAGAAAGTTTAGTAAAGAACAGGAGTAGATAGAGTTAGGATTAATAGTGTCGTTCAAATATGGAGGCAGAGCAGTTATTTTATTCAGATGAGGTAAGTAAGGTACAAAGATAGAAAGATTAAGAGTCTTCCTGTTCTACCTCTTCTCCTGCTTTATTAATCCTCTTGAGTTCCTCATTTACTCTGCCTCTGATAGAGGCTAAGTTCCTCAGGTTCTGGTAGTCTAACCAGTGAGAGGAAAGTTTGCAGTTCAGATAGTTCTGAACAGAATCTGATATGTTGTTGCCCGAAATGACTTTCATTTTCCACCATGCTTCTGCTTCTTGGATGGATCCTCCATGGTTGATCTGGATAAATCCTTCATTGTCCATGAACAGATTTTCTTGTTGCAGAGGCGTCATGGTTTTCTTCATTTCTTCAAATTACACTCTGTCAGGCTTTGACATCCCACTTCTCTGCCAGTCAGCAAAGGAGAAGGTGGGGGTTTTCTTCTTGGTTCCTCTGGGTGTAAGAGGAGGTCTGTGGATGCCAGCAACAAGTTTCTTCTGTTTGGCTTTCTCAAAGTATACTGCAGAATCAATAGGAGTGCGTCTAGGTGTGATAGATAGGGCTCTGGAAGTCTGACCTTGTGGTTCCTCTTCTGTTGTCTTTTCCCCCTTTTGGCATCAATCAAGTCCTTCAGCGGCATGCCTATTTTGTGGAACTCTGTGGTCTGTTCTGTAGCAAGTCCCTCAATCGCTTCAGGCAATGTCTGAGTGACAGAGGTCAGGCCTTTAATCAAGCCTTGTTGCCTTTAAATAGTTGAAGAGACATCTTTGGTGCTTGCCTCAAGAAGTACCATCTTATGGTATCTTTGTTTATCAGCTTCCAAGAGGGATTTAGCTTGCTGAGAGTGAGCAGTGCAAAGATCCTCAATTTGTTGCAGTTGTTCTGTGCGCTTATCATGGTACCATTGAAGATTATCTACAGCTTCAGACAATTTGGCAATA